TTTGATTTAAGTGAGTGAGGGGCCCTTGGATCTAAGTGGGTGAGGGCCCTTGGATCTAAGTGGGTGAGGGCCCTTGGATCTAAGTGGGTGAGGGCCCTTGGATCTATGTGAGTGGGGGCCCTTGAATCTATGTGAGTGAGGGCCCTTGGATCTATGTCAGTAAGGGCCCTTAGATCTAAGTGGGTGAGGGTCCTTGGATCTAAATGTGTGAGGGCCCTTGGATCTAAGTCTGTGAGGGCCCTTGGATTTAAGTGAGTGAGGGCCCTTTGATCTAAGTGGGTGAGGGCCCTTGGATGTAAATGGGTGAGGGCCCTTGGATCTAAGTGTAAGAGGGCACTTGAATTTAAATGAGTGAAGGCCCTTGGATCTAAGTGGGTGAGGGCCCTTGGGTCTAAAAGTGTGAGGGCCCTTGGATTTAAGTGAGTTAGGACCCTTGGATCTAAGTGGGTGAGGGCCTTTGGTTGTAAGTGATTGAGGGCTCTTGGATTTAAGTGAGTGAGGACCCTTGGATCTAAGTGAGTGAGGGCCCTTGGATTTAAATGAGTGATGGCTCTTGGATCTAAGTGAGTGGGGGCCCTTGGATCTAAGTGAGTGAGGGTCCTTGGTTCTAAGTGAGTGAGAGCGCTTGGTTCTAAGTGAGAGCCCTTGGTTCTTAGTGAGTGAGGGCCCTTGAAACTAAGAGGGTGAGGGCTCTTACATTAAAGTGAGTATGGGCCCTTGGATCTAAGTGAGTTAGGGCCCTTGGATCTGAGTGAGTGAGGGCCCTTTGTTCTAAGTGAATGAGAGTCCTTGGATCTAAGTGGTGAGGGCCCTTGGATCTAAGTAGGTGAGGACCCTTGGATCTAAGTGAGTGAGGACCCTTGGATCTAAGTGGGTGAGGTCCCTTGGATCTAAGTGGTTAAGGGCCCTTCGATCTAAGTGGGTGAGGGCCCTTGGATGTAAGTGAGTGAGGGCCCTTTGATCTAAGTGGGTGAGGGCCCTTTGATCTAAGTGGGTGAGGGCCCTTGGATCTTAGTGGGTGAGTGCCATTGGATCTAAGTGTGTGAAGGCCCTTGGATCTAAGTGTTTGAGTGCCGTTGGATTTAAGTGAGTGAGGGCCCTTGGATATAAGTGGGTGAGGGCCCTTGGGTCTAAAAGAGTGAGGGCCCTTGGATTTAAGTGAGTTAGGACTCTTGGATCTAAGTGGGTGAGGGTCTTTGGTTGTAAGTGATTGAGGGCTCTTGGATTTAAGTGAGTGAGGACCCTTGGATCTAAGTGAGTGAGGGCCCTTGGATCTAAGTGAGTGATGGCTCTTGGATCTAAGTGAGTGGGGGCCCTTGAATCTAAGTTAGTGAGGGCCCTTGGTTCTAAGTGAGTGAGAGCCCTTGGTTCTAAGTGAGTGAGGGCCCTTGG